CTGCTCTGCCCTTTGATCTGCTCTACATCTTCAACGTGACCGTGGTGAGTGCTGCTGGCACAAACGCAGCCCTCAACAGCACAGCCGCTGCCCAGCTGCTGCCCCTCTCCAACACCCCCATCTCCTGGGGATACTTGGTGCCCTGACAAGCCACAACCCTGGCTGTCTGCTGGCTGTTGGGCACAGGGGTGCAAGGCTGATCGGGGATGAGCTGCCTCTGGTTTGCCCTGTGACCCATGACCCTCCTGGCAGCTGTGGGGGTGACAAAGGACTCCTTCACCAGAGGTGGTGTTGGGGTCCCTTCTTGTCCCTGCCTGCAGCTACAGGTTCCTTTCCCCCCGCCCCCAGACCTCGCTGGTTCACCTGCTGAAGACGGTGCGGCTGCTGCGGCTGCTGCGGCTGCTGCAGAAGCTGGACCGGTACTCCCAGTACAGCGCCATGGTGCTGACGCTGCTCATGTCCATGTTTGCCCTGCTGGCTCACTGGATGGCCTGCATCTGGTACGTCATCGGCCGCAAGGAGCTGGAGAGCAACGACCCCCGCACCTGGGACATCGGTGAGCGGGGCCAGAGGGTGCTCGGAGCACCGGGATCCCCCTGGGCTGTGGGGCAGCAGTGCCAGGGTGGAGCCCTCAGAGCTGCCTCCTGCCAGTGCTAACCCCGAGCTGTGCTTGGCAGGCTGGCTGCACGAGCTGGGCAAGAGGCTGGAGGCTCCCTACATCAACAATTCAGTGGGGGGCCCCTCCATCCGCAGCGCCTACATCGCCTCCCTCTACTTCACCCTCAGCAGCCTGACCAGCGTGGGCTTCGGCAACGTCTGCGCCAACACCGACACCGAGAAGATCTTCTCCATCTGCACCATGCTCATCGGGGGTGAGGCGAGCAGTGGGGCTGGGCAGGGCGCTGGGGGAGGCGATGGCATGTGGGACAGGCTGTGAGACAGCCCTGGGCTGGGGCTGGGGTGCTGTGCCCGGCCCGCCCTGACGCTGCCCTCCTCCCCAGCGCTGATGCACGCCGTTGTCTTTGGCAACGTCACGGCCATCATCCAGCGCATGTACTCCCGCCGCTCGCTCTACCACACCCGCATGAAGGACCTCAAGGACTTCATCCGTGTCCATCACCTGCCCCAGCAGCTCAAGCAGAGGATGCTGGAGTACTTCCAGACCACCTGGTCGGTCAACAACGGCATTGATGCCAATGAGGTAGGAGGTGTTGGTGGGGCTCGGCCAGACCCCTCCAGCCCCGACCTGCACCTGTGGGGGCTGGCAGGGCCAGCTCGGAGTGGTGCTGTGGGGTAAATTCCTGCGGGACATACGGAGCAGAGCAGCTGATTACCCCAGGGCCCACCTCTGCCAGTCGGGACTGCTGAGTGCTGCTGACCCACCAGGGCAGCTCAGCAGCAAGATTCCCCACTCCAGAGGGGGACCTGTCCCCTGGGGCTGCCGGGCTGCAGGAAAGCTGCTCCCTGCCCCTCGTGCCCAGAGCCCCGGCTCCTCTGTCCCCAGCTGCTGCACGACTTCCCCGACGAGCTGCGTGCAGACGTGGCCATGCACCTCAACAAGGACATCCTGCAGCTGCCCATCTTTGAGACAGCCAGCCGGGGCTGCCTCCGCTCCCTCTCGCTGCACATCAAGACCTCGTTCTGTGCCCCGGGGGAGTATCTGCTGCGCCAGGGAGACGCCTTGCAGGCCAACTACTTCGTCTGCTCCGGCTCCCTCGAGGTGCTGAAGGACAACGTGGTCCTGGCCATCCTGGGTGAGGGCAGGCGGCGTGGGCTCTGCCCCGGCCCTTCCTGCTGCCCTGCAGAGTGAGGGGCTCAGGGCTCGTGTCACTAGCCCAGCCCCGGTCCCCTCCTGCAGGCAAAGGGGATTTGATTGGAGCCGACCTGTGCAGAACGGACCAGGTGATCAAGACCAACGCGGACGTGAAGGCCCTGACCTACTGCGACCTCCAGCACATCGGCCTGCGCGGGCTCTGGGAAGTGCTGCAGCTCTACCCTGAGTACGCCAGCAAGTTCACAGCTGACATCCACCAGGACCTGACCTTCAACCTGCGGGAGGGCAGCGAGATGGAGGTGGGTGCGTGTCCTCCTGCTCGGCCCCTTCCTGTCCTCACGGCCCTGGGGCTGGGGCTGTGCACGGCCATGGAGGGGGAGTCCGTGCACCCCCTGCTCACGGGTGCTGGAGTCCCCAGGCTCCAAGGCTGGGAAAGGGGCTGCAGCTCTGCCACCCTGGCACGCAGGTATGTCCTGTCCTGGCTCTGTGCAGCCCGGGGAATTGGCAGAGAGAACCTTTGCAATGCAGGAGGCTGAGGTAGATGGAAGCCTGGAAATGGGGTTGGAGAGAACTGGGGGGTTACTGCAAGACAGCCAGCCAGGGCAAAGCCCCCTGGAGTGCAGCACACAGCTGTGGAATGTGGGTTTAATCATGCTGATGGCTCCAGCATCCGGGGGTATTTTCTGCTGCAGAAATGGCTCTGCTGCACTTTTCCTCCCCCGGGTCTACTGAGAGGTTTGGATTTCCTCTGGACCATCTCCCTTGTACCCATTTTCCCCCTGAGCCTGATGGAGGTGGTGTGGGAGGTCAGTCTCTAGGTCCCAAGCAGCCCTACCAAGACCCACCATGTCCTTAACACAGGAGGGGTGTAAACAAACCAGGAGAGGAGAATGCCAGGAGTGTGCAGCAGGTCCTGCACCTGCATCACCCTCCCGTGCTGGCTGCATGCTCCAGACAGAGCTGGTGCTCTGGGGGCTGAGCCGTGGCTGGGATTTGGGGTGCAGCCTCAGGGCACTCGGGCAGCTCACCATTGGCATGGCAGCAGCAGAGGGAGGAGATGGGTGAGGGGCTGTGGAGGAGTACTGAGGCTGCTGTGTGGGGCTGGGGAAGGTTTGGTTGCCCAGGGGGGCACTGAGAGGCTGGGGGGCTGCGGGCCGGTGACTGCTCCCCGAGGAGCTGTGCAGGGGCTCCCTCCTGCTGCTGAGCCGGTACCGTCTGCTCTCCCCGCAGGGGCTCTGCCGCTACTCCCGGTCCCCGAGGCTGCCGCAGACGCCACAGGTTCGTCCCTTGCCGAGGCGATGGGGGAGGACGGGGCAGGGATGGGCTGGGACCGGTCCTGACCTCCCGCCCGCCTGCAGCCTCGCCCGGAGAGCGGCGCTGCCCCGGAGAAACCCCTTCCCTCCATTGTGGAGGATGAGGAGGAGCCCGACGAGGTTTTCCAGCAGTCCCCCGGCAGCAGCTCCCGCCGCAAGCTGCTGCTGCCCGCGCTGAGCAGCTCGGTGCGCCGCGGCTCCCTGAGCAGCCTCCTGGGCGAGGAGCTGTGCCCGGCCTCAGCCCCGCGGCACGGCCGCCCCTCCCCGGCCCGCGGCGGCCGGAGGGACGGAGGAACGGGCAGGAGGCCGCCCAAGCTCCTCATCCCCTCCCTGCGCTCCTCCGGCCCGCCCGACCTCAGCCCCAGGTACGCCGGGGGTGCGGGCGGCTCATCCCGTGCCGCGGGGTTGTGGCACAGGTTGTCCCTGGGTGTCACACAGATGTCCTGGGGGATGCTGAGATGGTGGCACAGAGGTGAGGGGTGGCGCGGGTTAACCCTCACCCCCTCCTGCTCAGAGTCGTGGATGGGATTGAAGACAGCGGAGGGGCTCCAGAGTCCCAAACCTTCTGCTTCAGCACGGAGCCGCCGCCGAGGGACTCTCCGAGCTCAGGTACCGCCGGCAGCCGCCGGGCGAGGTCACAGCACCGGCCCCGGGGCTCGGCAGGACATCCCAGCGCTGTCCGTGTCCTCCCCAGCAGGGACTGACGCCGGCCCGGCCCTGCTGATGGAGGCGGAGCAGATAAAGCACAACATCAGCAGGCTCAACCAGGAGGTGCGCTGGGGACCAGAGGTGGCTGCGTGTCCCCGAAAAGCCCGGCGGCATCGGCCGGTGCTCACTGCTGTCTGTCCTTTTCCAGATCCACCACCTCAACCAGGAGGTTTCTCACCTCAGCCGGGAGCTGCAGAACATGATGGAGCTGCTCAGGGCTCACCTGGGCGCCCCGCAGCCCCCGGCCTGTCCCTGCCGTCTGCCTGCCACCGTCTCGCCGCCACCCGCTGCCCCGGTGCCCCCCTCGCCCCCGGTGCCCCCCAGCTCGCTCAGCTCGCCCACCGGCAGCCCCCGGGCCAAACGCTGCCCGGTCCGCAGCCGCTCTGCCCACGCCGCCGCCCCGCACCCCTGGCTGGGCGCCGAGGGGCCGCGCCCGCCGCGGGGGGACACCCCCGACCCTCGCCGGGGCTCGGACTCGCAGCCGCCGCCGCCGCCGGTGCCGCCGCGCTCCGCCCGTTCCTTCCCCGGCTGCTCGGCCGGGACCGGGGGTCGCGCCCGCCCGCAGCCGCGGTCCGGCTCCGCCAGCTCCCGCTGATCCCGCGGGCACCGGCGGCGCCTCCCCGGGGCTCCCCGCTCCGGTGACCCCGCCCGGGGCGGCCGTGCCCCCGGGGCTCCCGGAACGCCGCACCGGGAACACGCGCGGGGATTTTGATACGGTTTTATACTCTTCGCCCACGGCGCCTTTTCTATAGCCCGGCCGGGCTCGGCAGCCCCGCCAGCCCCGGGGCACCCGCGGGGATCTGGCGGGGGAGGATCCGTAGGGCTCTCCGGTGCGAGCTCCAGCTTGCCCGGGGGTCGCGGTCGCTGCCGCCCCTCCGCGGCTGTAGTTCGTGTCGTTCCGCCCCGCCTCTCCCACGCTCCCCGCAACACCGAGAAATAAAAGCTCTATTTTTGCAGCCGCGGCTCCGCTGAGTCTCCGTCCGCCGCTGCCCCGCCCTGACCGGACCTGCCCCGGCTCCCCCACGGGGCCGGTGACACCGGGACGCTTCCGAACTACAACTCCCAGCAGTCCCCGCGGGAGCGCATGACGTCACGCACACATAGCGGAGGGGGCGGGGGCGGAGCGGAGCAGGTGATTGGCAGCTGTGTCAGCTTATGGCCGGCGGGCGCGGGGCGGAAGGGGTGGTCGGGCCCGGAAGCGGAACGGGTAAAGGCGGAAGTGAGGCCCGGGGCCTGCAGACGCACCGGCGGGAGCGGCGCTGCGGGCGGTGAGTGCGGCTGCGGCCGCTCCTTGCGCCCCGAGTGGCCGAGCCCGCCGCCGGGGTGCGGACCCGTTCCCTAGGCTCTCGCCCGGCCGAGGGCGGCAGCCCGGCCCCGCCGTTCGGGCGGCCCCGTGGCGGGATGCGGCCGGGGCTCGGTGGCGCCGCTGTGCCGGGCGGGGCGATGCCGGGGCTGCACCGGACGGGCGGGGCGGCGGCTTTGGGCGGCCGGGTACCGTCGCTTCTCGCCGTGCGCCGGCCTAGCGGGGCGCTGCGTGTGGTGCGAGGCGGGGCGGCGGCAGCTCCGGCCTGGCGGCCCCGGTGTGTGCCGGGCGGTAACGGGAGCGGAGCCGCGCCGGGCGGGGGCGGCCGCACGGCCCAGGGGACGGTGCCTGGCTCGGGGCAGGCGTCCCGGCGGCGCTGTGGGTGCTCGGGTCAGGCTCCTCCCGGGAGCGGCTCCCGGGACAGCGGAACGAGCGCCTGCGGCCGGTACCGTGGGACTGTGCGGCGGCTGTGCCCGCTCCCGTCTCACAGCCGCGGCTCAGTGGCACTGCGGGAGGTGCGGCGCCAGGACAGAAGAGATTTCGCGGTGGGATCGTATTTTGTGCTTGCTCTGCCTCTGAGGTGGGGATGGGAGCTCCAGGAGTTCCCGGGAGGTGCCGGAGACTGGCCCGGGTCACTGCCGGTGCCGAGCACAGCCCTCGGGAAGGGAAACCCGCGGTGCTGTAGGGCCCTGAGCAAAGCCCACGGGCTGCAGGGACACTTTGTGACTTGTCTGGAAGGGAATCTCCAGCAAGGCCATCCTTGGATCTCTGTCACAGCGGGACAGCCCCTGGTGTGTGAGCTGGGGGTGGGATTGCACCAGGAGTGCAGGTGTGAGCGTGAGCAACAGGTTTGCCCTGCTAAATCCTGGGGAAACTGCTGGCACCTTATTCCTGGTGATGCTCAGAGCTCTGGGGGTGCTGCTGGGAGCTGCAGGGAGCCCAGCCCAGCTGCCCTTCAGTTGCTGCCCTGGGATGTGGCTGCTGCAGCTCTGACCTTGGCTGATTCCAGTCCTGTAGGGAAGCTGGAGAGGAGAGTACGTCGAGGGACTATTTTAAGTCTGCTGTGGAACAACTTGCATCTGCTATTCTTAGCTTTTTGTGTGGAGGGTCAGCACACTTGAGCTGCCCTTTTTACAGCCTGATGCTCTGCTGGGCCTCCCAAGCCACCTCTGAGCCTTGGCTGGGGCCAAAAATCCCAACTCAGTCCATTGTCTTGACATGCCATGCAGTCTGAGGGAGCTTCCTGGAAGTACCCACTGCTGCCTCGACTCTGAAAGTCTTTTACACTTCTTTTCAGCTCACCTGGATAATAAGGTGAAAGATCCATGTCTGCAAAGGGTTAAGAATTCAGGATAGTACCTGTAGGCAGCTACAGGACAATGTTGGTGCATTCTTGGAGTGAGGCAAGCAGAGCCTGGCTGGATTTGGGAGGTCAAGGACAGGAATGTTTGGGGTCATATCTGGGTCTCAGTGTTGAAATCACCTCAGACCCCTCATAAGTCACAACAGTTTGCTGGAACAGTCAATACCTTCAGACCAAAAATGTGCTTTTCTCCCAGGATGCTCTGATTTAGCTGACATTTCACTGCAGGTTGTGCAGGCAGTGAGGAGCACTTCAGTGGGTGCTGATGCCTCTTGAGGTGATGGATCAACCCAGGCAAAGTGAGATGGACTCCTGGAGAGGGCTGAGTTTCTGGAGAGCAGGAGGGAACACAGAAAGGCTGTTTTGGCATGTGGATATGAATATAGAAAGCTCAAACACTTACCTGGTTTTGCATTGCTAGAGTACACTTTGCTTTCCTGTGAAACCAGCGATGTGTTGGTGTACTGGTTTTGGTTTGCCACCAATTTTTACATTTCCCAGCCAAGTGGACAGTGTGTAAAGGAGCTGCCTGGTGATGTGTGTGTGTGCTTGGCCAGACATAATTGTTGTGCTGAGAGGTGGGATTATCTCCACCACAGCCAAGCTCTTCTGCATCTCAACAGGGATCAGCTCGAGGGTTGCTCGAGGCCTTGCCAGTCATCAGCTCTGATCCAAACTTCTTCAGCTGCTGCACAGTTTTGGATGGTGGTCATGGCATCTCCCTGAAGAGGGAGGGGGAAGGAATGCCAAGTGCTTTCAGACACAGGAAATGAAATGGGAACGCTTCTAATGAAGTGGGTGTAGCCCAGAGTATTCCTGTCAGCAGACTTAAAAGAGGATAGAATGTAGAAATGTTGGAGTCAGCTGTTTTCTTCCCTTGGGGTATGAAGTTTGCAGCCTCTTATGCAAGTCCTGAGAAGTTGTCAGAATAGCATTGAAAACACTTAGACACTGGGCAGAAACAGGAAACCTTCCTGGATGTGACAGTACTGGGGAGGTGTAAAATTCATCTGAGGTCTGGGGGAATGCTGTCCTCCCCTGGAGCACAGGAATGAGCTGCTGGAGCAGCTCTGCATAAACAGATAAGAAAACACTGTTTTTCATGTTTGCTTTGGTTTGGTAGTGCTCCAAATAAGGAGCTGCTCGAGGCAGGAGATCTTTGTGCAGTCTGGGAAAGATATTCTGAAGGTCACAGATTCTTTGCGGTGCAGGTGGCAGTTTCCTGCTTTGCATTGCTGATGTTGCCTTCTTGCTGACTGAACAGTGGGTGCTATCCAAGGCATGTGCTGAGTGTCTGGTCAAGTGAAGCCGTGTCTGTTGAGGGCATCTGAACAGGAGTTAAACAACCTTTGCTGAAGAATGAAAACCCTGATGCTTTTGTTCCATTTGAGTCAGTCCAAGCCACATCTGTGAGTTGATCCTCCAGCCTTGCTGTGCCAAGGATAACTGAAAGTAGGTGAAGGCTCCAAGAGGGAGCATCTGTGGGACTGGGAGCTAGTGGGCAGCTATTGGGAGATGAAGATGATGTAAAACTCTTCCTCAGAAGTCTGTGCTGTTGTCACAGCAGGATGGTGGCCTTGAAATCTCTGGGGATAGAGTTGTTTTGGAAAAACTGCTTTGGAAAACAGCTGGCTGCTGGGGCTGCTCCAGAGGCCATGGATGTGCAAATATCAGGAAACAGATGTGTGTATCAACAGCATGAGAAGCAGATGGTACTAGCTCAGGTCTGTAGCTGAATGTGTAGGTCAATTTTGGAATGCAAATCCTATTTACTTCTAAATTAAGGTGAGCGTGGCAAAGTCTTTGCGAGTCTTGGATAAGGGACTGCACAGAGAAGTTGTTACACTATCCTGAGTTAGTCACAGCCAGAGGAGTGCTGCTGGAACTGCTGTGTGAGCTGATTCGGGTCTGTGAATCTGCACTTTGGGGCTGTAGTGCAGCTCCTGCCAGCTGAAGTGGAGAGGGGCGCAGTTCAGAGCAGTCCCTGAACTCCAGACTGTGACCAGGGCACTGAGGGCTCATTCTCTGAGGGAGGAGAAGGCAGGAAGGGAGAGTATTGAAACCTGTGAGACTTGGTGGGACTGAGGTCTGCAGGTTGGGTGTTTCCTGGTTCTTCTCCTCTGTAACAGCTGGGTCAGTTCCTCCTTTCTCTGCAGCCTGGGCCCTCCTGCAGGCAGGCTCAGGAACTTTGTTCTGATTAATCCTATTGATGAGTTGCAATATCAGGTTGACATTCCATGCTGTGCTAGCCTGGGCTAGTGTGGTCTGCACGTGGCTCTGGTGGGACCTGCACTTTCTGCTGGTCCTGCTTGTGGAAGTCAGGAAGTTGCTCCTGACTCCGTGTCCTGAAGCTGACTCTGCCCCCTTGGGCCAGCTGCCCATGCAGTGTGAGGTGAAGCAAAACCACTGGGTAACTTCAGGGCTTCCTCTGCCAAGGAATTAATGTAACACTGTCAGCTATTTAACGAGATAAATGCTTCACTGGGGCTTTTGTCTTGAGTATTTTGGTTCTAAGCCAACAAATCCCCAGTGAAGCAACTCCTTGCATAGCTAAGAGCAGCAGCAGTTGTTTGGGTAACCAGAGTCTTCAGGGTTAGGTTTCTAAATATCCTCAGCTTTCAGAGTAGTTTTTGCTACTGGGCGAACACAGGGCAAAAATATCAGATTCTCTAACTTCTGACACCTTAAATGAGCAGCTTCACTGTGGTGGGGTGTTCTGCAGAGGTTAACAGGGGGATCTGACAGTAATTCCCATGTGATGATTTGTGTTCTTGTCCTGGGCAGGTTTGTTTGAAATGGGCTCTGGTGCTATTCCCCAGCATCCTGAGGGTTATGGAGAATGGTCTTGCACTTGGGTAGGCAGGGAGAGCAGCAGCCATGGCATGTGCTTTCTCATTTACAGCACTCAGATTCTTGAATTTAATATTCCTGGCTGTGTACAGCCCCCTCCAGCAAACCCTGGCAGGCAGGGGAGGGCTTGGAGGAGCAAAAGTGATAGACCTGGAGCTCTCACTTGTGGCACAGCATCAGGAGCTGGTACTTGACTTTGATCTCAATGCAAACAAGAAACTATCTTAAGAGTTCACAATAAAGAAATCAGTGCTTTTGCTGTGGGATGCAGAGCTCCTGTGTGTGCTTCAGTGAGCAGGAGGTGGGTAGGGCAGGTAAACAAACCAGCACGAGCCTTTTCATGGGTCTTGTGATCTCCCAGCTCCTGGGTTCCACTAGTTAAAAGAAACTAGTAGGAAAATTAATGCCTGGTTATCTTGATTACATGAGTACCCCACCGTGTCCTTCTTTTTCATGGCCTTGACAACTTGAATGAACATGGCAGGCTGGGACTTCAGCTGCTTTCCCTCGTCTGTGTGGTGCTGCTGTGGTTATTTTGGTCTGCCTGACCTGTGGCTCGAGTGTCAGTGCTGGGATTCTCGTGGGGAGCAGGGAGGAGCCCAATCCTGTGCTGGAAGAGGTGGGAGGATGAACAGCTCCCCAGGCACCAGAAATGGCTTCATACAGCAGGAGGCAGTCCCTGTTTCTCAAGTCCACTGGTGGGTGTAGGCTGATCTAGCACAGGTTCAGGCTGTGTAGTTCAGCTGCCTCTGCAGAGCTGGGTTCTGTCTGACTGGAATCCTCAAACATCTTGGCGTTGGCAGAAAGTTCCTGTCCTGCCATGGAGTGTGCTCGCTGTCTGCAGCACTGGTGGGCACTTCCTTTGGTTATTTGCTTCCTCCTGTGACCATCAGCTGGTCAGGAGGAAGGACTTTGGCCAAGTCTTCAGCCCAAGGCCACCAGTGACTAGTGAGGGTCTCTAAATTCCACTCCAACACATGAAACATATGGCAAACTCTCATGTGAATATGAAGCCATATAATCTTGTATCCAAGCATCAGAGCACCCTGAGATGATGATCTGGTTCTCCACAATTGGAGCAGTCAAGGCTCTGGCTGCTTCCCTGCCTGCACTGACCAGTGGCTGTCCACGGTGAGCTCAGCATCGATGTGCTCACCTAATTCTGGTGGAGTTTGTGTAGCACAACCAGATGGCAAAATGCATCAAGATCTGTGAAATATAGGTCAGGCTAAGACTTGGGGATGTCAACAAGCTCATTTCCTTGTTTTGCTCTGGGAATGACCTCTATCAGATTTCGGGAGGCCGTAACTCAGACACACTGATTCGCACAGTGTTTGTGCAGAATGTTGGTCTTGAGCAGCAGTGGAGCTGATAGACTGCCAGGGAGTTATAAATACAAGGTTAAATCAAAGCTGTTCCTTTGCAAGCTCTGTTTAGAGGGGAAACTCTAAAAGGTGGAAGCCTTTTCAGGCTGGTAGAGATGCAGAGCTGCTGCTGAGCCTCTTGAACCTGGTGGTCACCAAGCTGCTCCCTCACTGCCCAGCAAAGCCAGTTGTTGGTCTGTTCCTTGTCAAGCTTTCTCATCCTGTCAAACAGTGTTTGCCTTCCTCAGTAGAGGGAGGGGAGTCCTGACTGTGCTGCTTGCAAGGCTTGAGCTTTGTTCACAGGACACTCGGCTGCTGTTTGACCTGTTTTAAACTTCTTATTCATGGGAAAATGCAGGATGTACAGTTTCTTTGGGGGTACTCTCAGGATAAGGAGAAATTGGCTTTGGGGGCATTTTCTTTCAACAAACAGCCTGCTTTAGGAGAGTAGAAGGGAAAGTGGTGATCCAGAGCAGATGCAATCAGCTGTAGCATTTATCATCCACAGGGAAGTGGGAGTTGTGAAGGGTACAGGAAATGTGCCTAAATCTGTAACTGTGTACTTGGAAAGCATTCCTGTTCTCTGCAGTCAGCAGAGCTTAGTGCTTACAGAGGCCCTGGGATTCACTTGTGGGTAGCTCTGGGTGCAAACCTTGTCCTGCTGTTCCTGCCATGGTTTTGTGCTTCTGCACCACTCGGGAGGTTGGTGAGGGGAGTGGTTGGCAGTGCTGATCCCAGGGAACGCTGTCTGTTCATGCTGGCTTTGAAAAGTCCATGTGAGGAGTGTGGTCAGTAGCTGATGGCTTGGAATGCTGTGGGATAAGGGTGCCGAGGCAGTGGGGTGGGAAGCATTAGGTGCTGCCTCTGTTTGGATCAGGTTGGGTGGTGATTCCTGGTGTGCAGCAGGAATGGGATGGGGAGCTGCTGTCAGCTCCTGTGCCCAGCGAGCAGCTGCTGTCAGGTGCCTTTCTGAGGTGGGCACCTCCTCAGGTGCCCCCCCTGCAGCAGATCACCTGCCTGGCTCCAGGGCCACCCTTGGGCCCAATGGAAGGTGCAGAATGTTGTGGTGTAAGTGCCTCAGGACAAACAGACAGCTCTAGAGATTCCTTTTGTCCAAGTGCCTTGCAACCTGCAGAGCTGCCTCCTGCCACTGTGGCACTGGGATGGCTCTGTGTAACGTTGATAGTCTGAAGTTGCTTCCTTGTGAACCTGGGAAAGGAGGAGGGAGCTAAAGGTCAAGCTCAGTTACCTCTGTGAACTGTGTAATTGCTGTTTGAATAGACAAAGCTCTAGTAACACCCATTGTGTGCTGGGTGCTCCTTACCTGCCTCACCCCAGCAAGGTGTGTGTAACATCCAGACAGGGTGGAAGTGCTGGAGGGCCCACTGGTGGGGAGGAGAGCTTGTATTGCCATTACCTCTTTTCCAGAGAGGCTCTGCAGACTGACATCCTGCTGCAGGGGCTGCTGCCTGGCAGGAACTGCTCTGTGGTGTTCACAGCTGATAACTTTGCACTGTGGGAAGGAATCACCACCAGTCTGTGCTGATGGTGGCTGCAGATCAAACCACCCTCTAGAACTGGTACATCTGGTCCTTGAGCGTGTCACTAACTCTGACCTCCTCTTCCAGTTGCAACCTGCCTACAGGTGGATCCCAGTGCAGAACCTGCAGCATCCTTAACTCTCGGCACTCCTGCACTTAGACCACAATGGCAGGTCGAGGTGGAGCTGCCCGACCGAATGGACCAGCTGCTGGGAACAAAATCTGCCAGTTTAAACTTGTTCTCTTGGGCGAGTCAGCAGTGGGGAAGTCCAGCCTGGTCCTGCGCTTTGTGAAGGGGCAGTTCCACGAGTACCAGGAGAGCACAATTGGAGGTGAGTGCCAGCTCCAGATGCCTGTGGCCAGGAGGTGCTGACCTTGCTGGGGTAGTCTGGGGTGTCAGAAACAAGACTGGCTATTTTAGTCTGGTCTGGGATTTTTTGCTATAAATAGAGCCAAACAGTTAATGCTTTAACTCTTGGTTCATAATTTGTTTGTTGGTGTAATGATCAGCACAGCACAGCAGAGAATAACACTATGGCAACCCCACACTTTGCCTCTGAGGCTTTGTTTCCAGTGTCTCAGCTCCAGCTTCTAATTGGAACTGAGCCCTTCAGTTTAGTTTATAGCCCTTAATTATCTCTTCAGACCACGACCTGGGATTTTGGGGCTGTTTCTAGCCTGATTCTGTTAACTACTTTCACAGTGCTTTCAGGTCCAGTAGTTTATTAGCTTGAAATAATTAGCATGGCGTCATCAATCAACCAAAGGCTGGTTAGCACGTGGGTCTCTGAGCAGCAAATACTGGGGGGTGTCCTGAGAAAAGGCTTGAGTTGTCCTTCTGTGACCTGTGCTGGGAGTGAGCACAGCTCAAAGTGTCGCTTGCTGGCAAGCAGGACCTAATGCCCCCGTGTCTCAGACAAGAACCAGTCACTGAACTGGGGCGTGTGGTGTAACTGGGCTGAGTTTGGTGCTGTTATTGGTACTTGGATCACAGCTGGACTGTGTGATCCCTGTCAGGGGCTGCTGGGAGGGTCTGGCACTGTGTGATGGTTCTGGGTTCCTGTGAGCAGGGGCTGTGACCCAGCAGAGCTGCAGCTGCCGCAGTGAGCGGCACTGGCCTCTGCAGGGCTCAGCTCGCAGAGCTGCTCCGAGCTCCTGTGCCGGCTCTGGGCCCTGTCCTGCTGGAGCTGAGGCAAGCCCCCTTCTCTTGCAGCTGCCTTCCTAACACAGACAGTGTGTCTGGATGACACAACGGTGAAGTTTGAGATCTGGGACACGGCGGGGCAGGAGCGATACCACAGCCTGGCCCCCATGTACTACCGGGGGGCTCAGGCAGCCATCGTGGTCTACGACATCACCAACACAGTGAGTGTGGGCAGGGCTGGGGGGCGTCCAGGGGGCTGCCAGGAGGCTCCCAGTGCCCTGCAGGTACCTGCCTGGGGCTGCCAAGTTCTTGAAAACTGCTCACAGCCTCTTCCTCAGCTCTGGCCAAGGCTGTGAGCTGATAAAGGATCCTGCCAAGTGCTGCAGAGGCAGGACACTTCTCGCAGGAAAGCCTTGTTCTAATCATATCTGCCCTCTGGATTCCTACATGGCTGCCCTTCCTGACTGCTGCCTCCTGTTTGCTTCCAGGACACATTTGTACGAGCCAAGAACTGGGTGAAAGAGTTGCAGAGGCAGGCTAGCCCCAATATTGTAATTGCACTAGCAGGAAACAAAGCAGACCTTGCTAACAAGAGAGCTGTGGACTTCCAGGTGAGTGGGAATACAGTGAAGTTGTTACCTGAGCAGATCAGGAAAGCATCTTGTGCTTAAGTGAGGGAGATGGCAGCTATGTAAAGTATGCTTTGAGGGAGAATGAAAGTGAGATTTTGTGCTGAGGACTGCAGGGTGCTGGTGAGCAGGGTCTGTGCCCTGCTTTTCCCTTGCTTTTGTAGTAGCACATGTGGCCCTGGCTGGTGAAAGTCCTGGTGAATGTGGAGGAGGAGGCCCATGGAACATAAGCTTCTGTCCTCAGCCTCCTTTGCTGCCTTATTCATGTGGGGATGTCTGCAGAGTGTGAAACAGCATCTTCTGAGTACGAGACACATGAGGAATCATTCCTAGCTTGTTCTCTGCTCTTCACAGCTCTTACCTCATCTGGGCAAGCGCTCAGGAGAGGTTCTTACCCAGCCCTTGCACAGGATTGCTTGTGGTGCCCTTGCAGGGGTGACACACTCCCAGCTGACCCAGCTCCCAGCGCTGTGTGTGCATGTGGCTCAGTCAGGCTGTGCCCCAGCCCAGCTGTGGGACACTGGGCTGTGTCCCACACAGGGCTGCTGGTGGAGCATGTCCCTGGGTTGTCCAGGCCAGGTGGGAGCAGGGATAGGGGAGGGAATTTCTGGCCCGAGGTGGGACACAGCGTTTCTCTAGCAGTTAATGTGTTGACAAGTGAAGTGCATGAAGTCTGCTTGGGCCTCCTGCCAGGCTGCCTGTAGCACTCTGATGTTATTGTTTGTAGGATGCACAGACATATGCAGATGACAACAGCTTGCTGTTCATGGAGACGTCAGCGAAGACAGCGATGAATGTGAATGAAATCTTCATGGCAATAGGTATGGCCTGTATGTAGGGCTGGGGGGGGCTCTGGGCACCAGCCCTGCAGCCCAAGAGGGTCCTGTGTCAGCCAGGGCTGGTGGCTGTTTCTGGGGCAGGTGTCCAGTTTGCCACGCTGGTGTGACTGGTCATTCCCTGAGTGTGTGGAGCCTTAGCCTTGCAAAGCTGGTTCCCTGTCCCTGTGTGTGGCGTGGTGATGGAGGTGGCAGCAGATGTGATGCCAGCCAGGGCCAAGGATGGGTTGGTTTGGCATGCAGTGCAAACTGCATGTTTGTCCTGTCCCAAAGCTGTGAGGACTGAGGCTGGAGCAGGCTGAGCCCAGCCTGGGGTGCGCACTGGGAGGAGATTGGCCTCTCTGGAGGACCCTGCTAACATCCTGTTTCTTCCTAGCCAAGAAACTGCCAAAAAATGAACCCCAGAATGCTCCTGGTGGCCCAGGCAGGAATCGGGTGGTGGACCTTCAGGAGAGCAGCCAGCCCAGCAGAAGCCAGTGCTGCAGCAACTGAGCAGCTGCTGCGGCCCTGAGCCCCGCAGGACGTGACTGGAACCCACGCTAACGATCGCACTTACCGTAGGGCGGCTGCTGCCGGCGCCGCCGTGATTCTCCATCCCTTTCTGATCATAGGCTGGAGGGAGTTCTTCCACCTGCACCTTTCTGTACAAATACTAATTCAATTCTAAGTCTTAAGTCACTTTTTTAATATATGAACTTCTGCTCTTCCCTCTTCCTGGTGGTGGTGGATGCAGGACCTGGTGTCTGCCCAGCCAGCGTGGCCGTCCCGCAGGTGAGGCCAGCAGCAGCCAGGTCCCACAGCACTGTAGTTCACTATGGGAAACAAAGGGATATTGGGACACGTGTTTAAAGTTCCCTGTCTGTAAGAGCTGAGGCTGATCCCGTACGATGCGCCCAGAACAACCACTAAACTGTAGCATTAGAGACAAACTCTGGCTCTTGGGCCACTTATTGACCAAATCAATGATGAGTATTTGGGGTGGGGCAGAGGGAAGCAAAACTGGTTTCTTCTGTATTTTGTATTGTATGTTTCTCCATGTAACCAATCAGTATCTTGTCAATATAGTACATCCAACGAGCTGCCTGTTGTCTTTCTTTGTGTTGGACTCCAGCATGCCAACTCTTCTTTTCTCTCGGTTCTGTCGTAATGCACTAATCCTGTTGCAACTTTTGCAAAAAATCTTGTATAGAAATTTGTCCTTTTCTTGATGGTTGTGATGCCACTAATATTGTTAACCCTGCTCTGGTGGGAATACACAAGGTTTACTGATGTACAGAGGTGGGGTGGGGGAAACCTTGGGTAACCTGTTGGTGGGAATGACATGTATTGCAAAAAGCCTGTAATTCCACAAAGAATGAAGGGAGGTATTAAATGGCTTCTGTTGCCAGACTCTAACTGATGTTGGCTGCTGCCTAGTGCCTAATGCAGTGTCTTATGCATCCTGGTATTTAAGAGGAACTGTTGACTTAGTCTTCATCACAAACTTCAGTTTTGTGTGATTAAAACAAAATTTTTATAAACCTATCATAACAACAATGTTCATGTTTCTTAATGCAGCAGGGAATGGACCCGAGCCCAACAGTTCTTGATGGAGGCTGAGCTGTGCTGGGCTGCTCCTGGTGTGTCTCACATCTTGGTAGGGAAATGGAGCCTTTCCTTCCTGAGGAAGGAGCAATGGGGCTCTGAGCTTGGGCTGTGTGGCTGCTTGTGCACACTGCTCTCCTCACTGTGATGCTGCTGGTGTTCACTTGGCTCCAGGGTGCTCAAGGAAGCTTGAGGGAAATTGTGGGAATTACTCCTTGCTTGATACTTCTGGGGAAGCTCTACAATGCAAGATGGGGAGAGGTGGGGGAACAGTGTGTGCAGGAGCTCTGCTCTGCAGTGGGGCAGGCTTGGTCTGCTGCTCCAGAATTCATGAACACAATGCCTCTGTCCCTGGAGCACGATGGCCTTGGAAGATGCTGCTCTCCTGTCACTGCTTCATGGACTATGAAACCCCAACATCCTGGGACCTGGAGCCAGTATGGAAGAAGGAGCAGCCCCTTGCAGCTCCATCCCTGGTGCCAGCAGCACCATTCGTGTTCAGGAGAGGTTGAGGATGGAGATGTGCTGCATTTGGAACCCACTGCCCCCCTCAGCTGAGGGGCTGCGAGAGGCTCAGTGACAGGAGAGCTGTGAACAGAGTTGTATGAACAGCCTTGGCCTGTGTGCCCTTCATCTGCTATCCGAGGTCTCAGTGCCTCTTCCTCATGCTGCATTTCCTTAAAATCCTGGATGTAGGAAGGGTCTGGAGTGATTTGGTGATGGAGTGTGTGGGAATCATGCTGGAGCTTGGGCTGCCTATGGGGTGTGGGCTTCGGTGGCCCCCACTACAGCTTTGTGTGGTGCTGTTTGTGATTGCTGAGCTGCTGGAGGTGCTCAGGATCTCTGTGGGACCACCCAGTGCTGCTTGTGTGCTGCTGGTTTCCCCAGGCAGCCAGAGATGGACCAGTTCTGAGGAGAGCTTCCCTGATCCCTCTCAGAACAATTCAGGGAACACTGTGTGCAGTGCTGTTGCCATCTGCTGGCTCCTCTCCCTGCGTGCCCGGTTTCTTCCTAGACCTGGGGTCTCTGAAGGCAGCTGTGATGCCCTGAGGAGGGTGTTGCTGCTTGCAACAGGTTCTCAGGGGCTCAGCAGCGAGGCTGGGGACCTGCTGGTGTTCCTGGTGTGTCTGGGCAATGGCCTGTCTGATCTCAGGGTGGCTTTAGCACAAACAGGCGTTCCTGCCTGCATACCTGCTGCCTGCCCACACAGCTGCTGCCTGCCCGGGCCTGAGCGCGGCTGTTTGTGGTGGTTATGCACCGCACCCGGGCTTGAGCTTCTCCCTCCTGCTGCTGGGAGCTCGGGGATGGCTCCAGCAGCCCCTTGCCAAGCTGGGAAGGGGAAAGTGTGATACAACAACCTCACACCACACCCTGCCAGGCAGCTTGTTGTGGTTCCTTCTCTATTGTGTGGGGATGGGTATTGGCTGTGGAGCTGGAGATGACGCTGGCAGCATTGTGAGGAAGGGGTGAGGGTACCCCAGCTGCTCCTGTACAGGTGAGTGGGACTGCCCTTCCTGCCTGCCCCCCCCCTTAGCAGCAAAGTGCTCACAGAACCCTCTGGGTCTGCTGTCTGACCCCATTTTGTGCTGCCCTGAAAAGCAAGAAGTTCTTCCCTTTCTGTGCATCCCATTCCTCAGGCACCAAGAGCAGGGCGCAGCCTCCCCATCAACACCCAGAGAACACAAGGAGATTCAATGCAAAAGGATTTTTATTGGATACAAAAACATTCCAGTTTAGTGAAAAAAATGACATCATTGCCAATGAAGCTTCTCTGGGCTTAAACCCGAGACTTGCTCCCGTCTGCTCCGGTCCTGCCGTGGCCATGGGGTCCCATCCTCTCACACCTGGGCTTTGCTGGTGGCTCCCTCCTCAGCAGCTGCTCCGCTCTGTGGGGCAGCAGGGCTGACCTGGATGGGCACGCTCCTCTCGGGAGCGGCGGGCAGTGCCAGCTTGGGGGCCTCGATGCGGAGCTGTCCTTCCTTGGACAGGGAGCAGGTCAGCGCCTCGGCATCCACCTCCTCGGGCACGTCCCACTCCCGCTTCAGCACCTCGTACTTGTAGGAGAAGGAGCCCTTCTCATCCACATTCTGCGTCTCCTTCTGCCCCACCAGCACCACCTTCCTGCCCACCACCTTCACCGACAGCTCCTCGGGAGCGAAGTTCTTCACGTCCTGGCAGACAGAGAAGCCGTCCCCAGAGCTGTGGCTCAGGCTCATGCTGGTGCTCGGGGTGTGCTCCGCGGCGATGGCTCCGTGGTTGCTCAGGAGCTGCTCGAAGCTGCTCATGAACTCCCGAGCTTTCTCCATCTCCTGCTGCAGCTCGGTGAAGATGGTCTCTGCATGTGGCCAGAGGGTCCTCACTGTGCCCAGGCGGCTGGCCAGGGAGCTGGAGGCGAATGGTGCGAGGTGCATGCGGCAAAGCATCGCTGCTGCTGTTATTGCTGCTGCTGCTGCTGCTGCTGCTGTTATTGCTGCTGCTGCTGTTCTTGCTGCTGTTCTTGCTGCTGCTGTTATTGCTGCTGCTGCTGTCCCGTTTCCAGTGGGCTGGAAGCGTTCTGCCCCGCTGCTGCCGTCGGAGGCTTTTATTGCCGTTCTCTGGAGGCGTGGCCTTGTCCCGCACATTACATCACCCTCGGGAGAAGGGCTCAGCCCTTTCCAGCCCGTTCCAGCTCATTCTTGTTACTCACCCGCGAGGAGTGGCAGCGCTGACGTCGTGCCCGGCATACCTTCGCCCTGACTCTTACAGCTCTGCTCTCCTGGCTTATAATTAGAGATCACCTCAGCCTCTGAGCGGGATGCCTGAGCCACCCTTGCCAAAAATCTGTGCCCTTTGCTTTTCCCAGGCATGGAGTGAGTCTGGGCTCATCTCCTCCCTGCCTCCCCCCACCCTCCGCTGTGTTCCATTTCCCCCCGTCTGTGCCCAGGGGGTTCCCTCAGGTGACACCAGAAGTCAATCCACATGCCCAGGTGGGGTGCACAGTGAGGTGCTGAAGGGTCACGACAGAATGGGGGTGGCCAAGAGGGAGAGGGGTCCCAGAAAGTGAAAGGAGTGCCTGGCAGCAGATGACCTGGGGCATGTACTTCAGGGGTGGGACTCATTCCTGTACTGGCAGAAGTGATGAGCTCCTGGCACAGTGGGTCCTGCCTCCCCTGAGCCCCGGCGGGGGTCCAGGGAAGGGCTCTGTAGCCCCCCGGCCATGGCCCCACGGGCCCTGCTGCATCACGATGGCTCTGCAGAAACCTGAGCTCCCAGCAGTGACTGCGGCTCCCTATTTGTGGTATGTGACCTGTCCCCAGAAACAGGCGCTGCTATTTTGGCTGGTGGATAATCAGCCTCTCAAAAATAGGCGATGGCTCCAGGACGCTGCGTGGGGAGAGAGCGTTCTGGAAGGGACACACCCCTGGGCAGGGGAGGATAAAATCCGCTGCTCCCCTGCCCCAGCCCAGCACGGCTCAGGCCACTGCACCGAGCAGAGCTGCAGCACAGCCAGGAGCACACCTCGGAGCAGAGATGCTTTGCCGCCTGCACTTTATGCCGCCCATGTCCAGCTCGCTGTTCCCGTGGCTGGGACCCGTCCGCACCCTGTGGCCACATCCAGGCACCCTCTTCGCCGAGCTGGAGCGGGAGATGCGGCTGGAGATGGAGAGAGCTCGGGAGTTCATGAGCAGCGTGGAGCAGTACCTGAGCAGCGGGAGCAGCCCCGGGCGGTTCGGCATCGCCCCGGAGCGTGGGGCCGGCAGCGCTGCCCTGACCCAGGGCCCTGGGGACGGCTTCTCTGTCTGCCAGGACGTGAAGGACTTCGCTCCCGAGCAGCTGTCGGTGAAGGTGGTGGGCAGGAAGGTGGTGCTGGTGGGGCAGAAGGAGACGCAGAGCACAGACGAGAAGGGCTCCTTCTCCTACAAGTACGAGGTGCTGAAGCGGGAGTGGGACGTGCCCGAGGAGGTGGATGCCGAGGCGCTGACCTGCTCCCTGTCCAAGGAAGGACAGCTCCGCATCGAGGCCCCCAAGCTGGCACTGCCCGCCGCTCCCGAGAGGAGCGTGCCCATCCAGATGGGGCCGGCGGTGGCACAGCCAGCTGGCAGCGCTGAGGAGGGAGCCGAGCGGGCCAAGGCGTGAAGAGGAGCAACAGGGACCAGGCTGAGCCTGGCTACGGGGGCAGCTGCTGGCCGCAGAGCGGGACTGGCCCGGGGGGTGGTGTCTGCCCAAAACATGCGGCTTTTTTGATATGTAATAAATATTCCTAACTTTTATTTGTGTGATTTTGGTGTTTCTGGTCTTGCCCAGCCCTGTGCTTGGCAACTCTGCTGTGTGTGCCCGCGCAGCGCGGTGGCAGGGTGGGAAACGGGGCTGTGCTGGCACCGGGAATGTCCTGGCACCTCTCCGCAGCTCTGCCCTGGCAGAGGAGGTTGGGCGAGGGGCTCCGGGCGATGTCAGCACTGAGAATCCCCGGCAGGTCCTGAGCATCCCCCTGGGCAGCTTTCGGACAGTTGCCTCCCATCTTTGGGATGCTGCTGGAACCCTCCCGCGCGGTGCCCGCGGCCCCCCCGCCAGCGCTGGCACCTTCCAGGCGCCGCCCGCCGCTCCGCGCAGCAGCGGCGCTAATCCGCGTCCCCCGCGGTGCCGGCGGGCGGAGCCGGTGCCGCGGTACCGACCGGGAGGCGCGGCCACGCTCCACGCCCGCCGCTTGGCCGCACCCCGCGCCGCTGCGAGAAGGCGGAGGGCGGGTCGCACACCGCATTTGGAGAGGAGGGCGTGGCCGTGCTCCATATTGGCGGGAGTCAGCGGAGTGCGGAGCGGTACCGGTTACCGGAGGGGTGGGACGGCTCCTCCGGGCACCGACGGCTCGGCATCGCTCCGTGAGAGGCTGTCGCGGTGTTTCGTCATGATCGGACCTCGACGCTCTCCGGACGGTTCACGCCACGCGCAGTGCCGAGTGGGAGCTCTGCTGCCGTTCGGAGAGCGGGTGACGTGAGGCGGCCCCGGGAGCGGCGGCCGCGCCTCCCCCGCCCCGCGGACTACATTTCCCGGCATTCCCGGCGCTGGCGGCGCGCAGGCGCGCTGCGCACGGGGCGCACGCCGGGCCCGGCATGGCGGAGCCGGAGGCCGCGCAGCCCGGGCGGCCCCCGCCGGGCCCCGGGGCGGCGGCGGCGGCGGCGGCGGGGGCGAGCGGGGTGACGGCCGGAGCAGCGGGATCCAGCGACCCGGCGCGGCCCGGGCTGAGCCAGCAGCAGCGGGCGAGCCAGCGCAAGGCGCAGGTGCGGGGGTTCCCCCGCGGGAAGAAGCTGGAGAAGCTGGGGGTGTTCTCGGCGTGCAAGGTCGGGGACGGCGGCACCGGGAGGGCAGGAGGGCGGGAGGTGGGGGTCAAGGCTGTGCATGAGGGCGAGATGCAAGGACGGGCACGGGTGGGGTTGCAGGAGGGATGCAGGGGATGCAGGAGTGGGGGTTCAATGCTGTGCATGGGTGGGGGATGGAGGACGAGGATGCTGACCTGAGTGGGGGATGCAAGCACGTTTGTGGGTGTAGGAGAGGAATTTAGGGATGCAGGAGGGTGAGTGCAAGGAATACATGGACAAAAGATGCGAGATTGGGATGTACACGGGGTGTGGGACGGGGGTGCTGGGCTGTGTGCAGGCAGGGGCTGCAGGAAGAGAGTGCTGAGTTACCCAAGGGAGGTGCAGGGATGTCACTGGGCAGGGCTGCAGAGTCCTGGGGTGCACGGGGGAGTGTTGGGGTGGTGGGGGCTGAAAAAAGGTGGGCTGGATGAAAACAGGTAGGAGGGAGCCAGGGAAATCCTTTGACCACAGAAGGTGGCAGCCTCGGCATGCAGCAGCGCATGGGCCACTGCAGTGACCGCTGCCGTCCCTCTTCCCAGGCCAACGACGCCTGCAAGTGCAATGGCTGGAAGAACCCCAACCCCCCCACAGCCCCTCGAATGGACCTGCAGCAGCCGGTGACCAACCTGAGCGAGCCGTGCCGGAGCTGCGGCCACGCGCTGGGTAACTCCCGTGGCACCTCCCGGGCACGGCGAGCACCGGGCACGGTGCTGGTCCCTTGGTCTCACCGTGGCTTTCTCTCCGGCACAGCGGACCATGTGTCCCACCTGGAGAACGTCTCAGAGGAGGAGATCAACCGTCTGCTGGGCATGGTGGTGGATGTGGAGAACCTCTTCATGTCAGTGCACAAGGAGGAGGACACGGACACCAAGCAGGTGTATTTCTACCTGTTCAAGGTGCGTCTGGGGTGTGCATGTCTCACTGCCCCGCTCATGGGGGCACTTGTGCAGAGTTTCTGGTCATTGTGGGGGCTGCTGTCCCACTGTTTGTGCTCTGTTTGAGCTGGCACTGAAGCTGGGGCTGTGAACCATCCCACAGCCCAGAGACCTGGAACGCGGACCCTCTGCTGGAGTGACTGCTCTCCTGGCCTTGAATTCCCTAGGGGGCAGTTCTGGGGGATGAATGGGTGTGCTCCAAGGGCAGCACTGGTGCCCTCCTGGCTGTAGAAATTGGAGCAGCCCCATGGTGGCATTCAGCCCCCTCCAGCATTCCTGGAGCAGCTGGTTCCTGGGACTCTTTTGAGCGTGTCTGTTGGTGTCTTTGCAGCTGCTGCGGAAGTGCATCCTGCAGATGAGCCAGCCTGTGGTCGAGGGGTCCCTGGGGAGCCCTCCCTTTGAGAAACCAAACATTGAGCAGGTGAGGCTGCTGTCAGGCTGGTGCACTGCCCTGATGACTTGTCCTGTGTTCTGCTGCTCTTGCACGGTCCCCTCACTCTGGGAAGACCCCAGAGCAGCCCCTGGCACCTTCCCACTGTGCCGTCCTCTCCCCAGGGAGTCCTGAATTTTGTGCAGTACAAGTTCAGCCACTTGCCGCCCAAGGAGCGCCAGACCATGTATGAGCTCTCCAAGATGTTCCTGCTGTGCCTCAACTACTGGAAGCTGGAGACACCGTCCCAGTTCCGTCAGCGCTCCCAGAATGACGATGTGGCCACCTACAAGGTCAACTACACCAGGTGAGGGCAGGGGGCCACTGAGCCAGCCACCCTGGGGTCTAAGTCCCAGGGTGTCTCCCAGACTGTCAGTCCACTAGGACAGCAGGCACCCAGTGGGGCCAATGCTTCTAAATGCCACCCGAGCCCTTTGTCCAGGCTGCTCCCAGCAGCGTTGTCCCAGCAGGGATACGGTCGCTGTGGGCTCCCTGGTTCCAGCCCTGTCTCCAGAGCCCTTTCCTGTCCCGCAGGTGGCTGTGCTACTGCCATGTGCCACAGAGCTGTGACAGCCTGCCCCGCTATGAGACCACCCACGTCTTCGGGCGCAGCCTCCTCAAGTCCATCTTCACGGTGACCCGCCGGCAGCTGCTGGAGAAATTCCGGGTGGAGAAGGACAAGCTGGTGCCGGAGAAGCGGACACTGATCCTCACCCACTTCCCCAAGTAGGTGCTCAATGTGGAGATGGCTGCTGGAGCACTGAGGGGACTCCTCATTTGGGATACTTGCATGCTGATGTGCCACTCCCTTCCAGGTTCCTCTCCATGCTGGAGGAGGAGATCTACGGTGAGAACTCTCCAATCTGGGAGGCTGATTTCACAGTGCCAGCTGCGGAGGGTGCCCAGCTGGTGTCTCGCCCAGGTATTTCAGGAAGCAGCTCCCTCTGTTTGGGGGCTGAGGGATAAAGGGTGAAGGTGTGGCAGAGCAGTGGCAGTCCTGGGCTGCCGTGGCGTGATGAGGCATTTTCCAGTGGTCATGGGCACCGTGGGTCTGTTGCAGCTGCAGTCAGCACCGTTGCCGTTCCCACCACTCCTCTCTTCAGCAAGAAGCTCAGCAGCAGCAGCTCAGCCACCAGCCTGGACACCAGCACCCCAGAGCCCCTGCCAGGTAAGGTGACCAGAGCCCACGCCAGGAAGCTGGAACTGTCCATGGTCCATCCCAGCCCTGCATCCCAGCTCTGCTCCCATCCCAGGAGAGAAGCGGAAGCTACCTGAGAGCCTGACGCTGGAGGATGCCAAGCGGATCCGTGTCATGGGAGACATCCCCATGGAGCTGGTGAACGAGGTCATGCTGACCATCACCGACCCCGCTGCCATGCTGGGCCCCGAGGTATGGGCTGCCAGTGCTGGGGTGCCTCTGGTCCTCTCCGTGTTGCACAGAGCTGCTTCCCCAGAGTGTCAGGGTGGAGTGGGGCTCTCCCAGCGGAGGGTGTGCAGGGCCAGTGACCCCCCCGTGCCCCCAGACCAGCCTGCTGTCGGCCAACGCGGCGCGGGACGAGACGGCGCGGCTGGAGGAGCGCCGCGGCATCATCGAGTTCCACGTCATCGGCAACTCGCTCTCGCAGAAATCCAACAAGAAGATCCTGATGTGGCTGGTGGGGCTGCAGAACGTCTTCTCGCACCAGCTGCCCCGCATGCCCAAGGAGTACATCACTCGCCTCGTCTTTGACCCGTGCGTGGCGGGGGGATGCAGGGGGGCCGGTGTGGGGGGCTCCCCTCACCCTCGGCCGTGCTGCCCGCAGGAAGCACAAGACCCTGGCACTGATCAAGGATGGACGGGTGATCGGGGGCATCTGCTTCCGCATGTTCCCTACCCAAGGCTTCACGGAGATTGTCTTCTGCGCTGTCACCTCCAATGAGCAAGTGAAGGTGAGAGCAGAGAGGAGGGAGGTGGGCGCACACATGTGCCCCCCAAAGCCTGGCATGGGCAGGATGGTCTCTGTAGCTGGTGTAGGGCTGCCCCAGCCCCTTGGGCAGCCAGACCTGCTCAGCGCTGGCCAGCCCCAAGCGGTGGTAGTTGCTCCAGGTCATCTTCCAGCTGCCATTTCCATGGGGGGGAGGGGGTTGTTTATCCCAGCTGGGGCTGCCTGCGGGGGGTTCCTGTCTCACGGTGCTTCCCCAAGGGCTATGGGACGCACCTGATGAACCACCTGAAGGAGTACCACATCAAGCACAACATCCTCTACTTCCTCACCTATGCAGACGAGTACGCCATTGGCTACTTCAAAAAGCAGGTGGGCTCCTTTCCCTGGGAGCTGCTCCCAGCTCTGCTGCACACCTGCCTCCCCCACCTACCCCCTCCCACCTGCCCCTCTCTCCTAGGGCTTTTCCAAGGACATCAAGGTCCCCAAGAGCCGCTACCTGGGATACATCAAGGACTACGAGGGGGCGACCCTGATGGAGTGTGAGCTGAACCCCCGCATCCCCTACACCGAGCTTTCACACATCATCAAGAAGCAGAAGGAGGTATGGCCCGGGATGGGCAAGAGGGT